TTATGTATGAGTCACGAGTGTATGGTTCACATCGATACAATATAGTAAAATAGGACAGTATAATGACAGCAATTTAAACCACTAAAAAGTGAACCAGAATTACTTATGATTTTTTTTATTTTTAACTATTTACAATGACGTAATCACTTTAAATGTTAGAAACAAATTGCTAGCTCTTCCACGAACGCTAACAACTGCAGCTGTTTACAAAAAACATTTAATTACAATAATTGCATATAAATATAGGTTGCCGCTTATCTAGACGACATTTTCAAGTACGAAATTAATTGAGAATTTCCACGATGTCTGCGATATCATCATCTGACTCGCGGTGACGATTCTTACATAATTTCTCGAAATGGAGATATTTTATGCTTTTGCTCTGACAATAATCAAATTAGAATGTTCTTCTCTCACGCACACGCAAATACACGCAAGCACTCACACAAAATCACACACAAATGAGCATAAGTGATTAGTATATTTGGTCCACTCTGCCACATCGAAAGCAGTGAAGACAAAACATGCAAACAGACACGCACTTGCACAATTCAACAACTAGAATACACAATAAGTTCCTCTGTTACACATCTATATTAATTTGTAACATTAGTGCCTTGATTCAATCTTATGTAGATCAACTCGCAATAAGCGTTTTCTCATGAGGTTCGTCCACAGAAGTATGAACAACACTATCTCTCCTTGCGCGCGATTCGCCTCTTCTATCAATGCTGTTGCCTCTCTCTGCGTTATTGAATCCAATACATGTTTTTCCCGAGCTGTTATCTCGTTTGTCAGCCTGTGTCTCCGCCTCATGGTTTCTTCTTCTTCGGTGGTTAGTGCTCTTGTTCTTGTCAGCCGGGGTTTGGAATTGATTGCTTCGCGTGTCGTCTTTCGCGGTCACATCCCAAGAATTCGTAGACGCTAAGTGAACGGCGAAAATTCCTGTTGTACGTTGCTCCCACGGGAGGTGGATGTGCACGCAATTGTGCCCAGGAGATTGCACCTAACACAGTCAGGGTTGTCTGAAATAATGTAACCGGGAGTACCGCGGGAGTCAAATACTCCCTGGAGACTCTGACTGTCGGACTCACTGTATTTAGACATATGCGATAGTGTAAAGTCCGTGTGGACTCCCTGAAAATTCATGCCATACTAACTAGTTGTATCATAGCCGGCCTCGCGGAATTACGTAATTTTTCAGCTAAATGTTCAAAAGAAAAATTTGGCAGATGTGCAACAGCATGAATCACTTAGATATAATAAAGACACTATGCGTTATTGGTTAATAGTTACTATATAAGATTTTCGAACCTCAGACTGCGGACTCCCTAATTTTGCTGCGGGGCTCGCAGTTTTTTTTGAGGGTAGGGAGTCTGTTGGACTCCCGTGTTCAAAAGTTAATTTCTACCCCTGCACACGCACACATGTAGGAACGCATGCACCCACACACATGCTTTCTTGCTTCCTTACCATCAGAGAGACTCACCACAAAAACCTTGCTGATTGCAATCGGTGATACGTTATACTTCGATAGAACCGTTTCGAATTTCCCACGTCTACATACGTGCACGTGTTCCTTACCGCAAGCAACAAACTACCACAAAAAACGATCTGAGTTATACTATAAGCGTAACACGCTAGGGCGCGATAAAGTGCGTGTCTTGAACATATAGGATTTCTTGCGCTGCGATTCTCGATGACGACAGGCAGACGATCCGTTGACGTGGCGTAAAGACGGCGGGACTCGTTAACGGTTACGTCGTTAACATGCCTGTTGTCGCTGGCATACTGGTTAGTGGCCACATTACATGGTTAGTTTAGTGGCCACGTTGCATGGTTAGTTTAGTGGCCATGTTACATGGTTAGTTTAGAGGCAAGCGTTAGTGGCAGGCTTTGCCGTCTGAGAAAACCATGGGGCGAAAAAAAGGCCCCGTCATTTGTCCAATAACTCGACCAGGGGAACTGACCTATTCTCCAGACGGGGAAGGATTATCTTATTTTTTATTAATATGATAAACTCTATGTTAACGTGTAAGCTCTATGTGTTGTAAATTCTCATAGATTTTTGACCTGTAGTCTCCTGTGTGCAATGTGAAGGTGCTCAATGACATCGTGTTAGATCGACTAACACCAGAGCAGAAAAAAAAGTTCGACAACTCAAAGTTCAGTGGTGAGTGAAAGAAATACGAGTATGTCTCACGTTCTCCTAAATCTCTCTTTTGAGCAACCATTCTGATGTTACATTATAGAAACGATTGCCCTTCTCTGGTCATGCGCTATCTTTCTTGCATAATCGCGTTTAAATAGTAATTGTGACCTAACAGACCAAAGAAGAAGAAATCATAGCAACTTTGTTACAGGTGTGACCGTAGGATGGCACCTATACCGTTTGTTAGCTGATGGCATTGGTATATAGATTAAAGTGTGGTTATGCTGCTGTTCCGACGACGTTTTTAAATCTTTACTCGTAATATGAGACGTTTTCTCGGAGCCCACAGTACTCTAGGGTGTGAAAGGATCAGTGACCAACAGTTTAAGCATAGTTTTAAAGATTATTGGCAGCTGTCAATGAGAATCTATGTAAAACGAACCAGACGGAGCTGATGACACCACAGCACTGTTTGTGTCTATAATTAATACTGCTATATAATGTGCCAAAACCCTACCTATTTGCATAATTTTTTTTTAATTCAAACCCCTAGCCTTATTTCATTCACATACCAAAAATTGAGCAAGAATCATGGTTGAACTCTGAACTGGACTAAAATGGGCAATTTCCCATTTTGCCAAAAATTGCCGGTGGGTGCGAAAGTACAGGCAGATGGGGGCTCAAAATAGGACGTTTTAATAGGGGTGCATAGGCAGTAACAACTATACCCAATGTTTCAAACATGTGTTGTGAGTTAGGCCAAACGGCAATTACTCTTATGTTATCGGGTTTGAAACCCGAAAGCACGAAATTTGGGAACATACGGTAATGACTCTACGGACGGACGTTACGACGGACGGACGACCCATGGCCAATAGCTCAGCTTGACCGATGTTAGGTGAGCTAAAAACGTGGACACTGGAGACGGGGCTGTTTACAGGGCTTGGCCCGATTGGCCCGTGAAAAGGCGAAGCCTGGTTAGTGGTTAGGGTTAGTGCTTAGGGGTGCGTGTGCCACAGCTTTCACAGCACCCTCTCGCGCTGAGTAGACACGATTTGTCAACTTCGTTGCAATTACCTTCGCCGCTTGTGTTTCCTTTTGGATTTTTTGCGCACGTCACGCGACCGTGACCTGCTCCTTTTCCTAGAATGCTTGTGCTCTTCCTTACTCCTCTTCTTTTTCTTCTTCGTTTCCGTTTCCTTCTTCTCCACGGCTTGGGTTTCCGCTAAAAACAGTAATCGAAACTGTAGACTTCAATCCGTGGTGTTGATGGGAACAAATATATCGCGGTCAGAATGATAACCTACATATGATATTTAACACAGTTATAAAGTGTCAGTATAAAGCTGATAATGTTTATAAAAACTATTAGTTACAAAACAGATAAAGTAATTGTAAAGTGAGTAAAGTGATAATACATTGAGTATTAAACACGTACAGTAATATAGTAGGTGTACTAACGCACCTTCCCTTAGCTGCACTAGAGGTGATTTGAAGTCTTCCTCGTCGCTGCTCTCTGAGCTCGTGCTACTCACATCCAAGACAATGTCAGTGTTGGGATTTACCTTCACAAAGTTTCTACACTGGTAGGTCAGATGGCCCGCTAACAGGAAAACAGGAAACACAGTGAGCAGGAGTGTACATACGGCATACGACTTCATTATTATATTTATGACTGGTATAATGGTAAATCAGGGTGGAACATGCACTCACGCAAACATTTTGGACGGTTTTAAAAATGAACGTCGAGAAAAAACGATCGGAAAGATTCTTAGCAAGGCAATTGATAGTAGATTCACGCTTGCTTACCATATCCACACTTTCTGCATGACCCTCTAATCGCATCAGACTTCTTGGTGTTTGTGAGTTTAGCTAAGACTTCTGTAAATCAATGCAATAATAATGAGCAGTTGGATCAACAGTATATTATCAGTGCTAGTAGTAGTAGTAGTAGTACTAGTAGTAGTAGTACTACTAGACTTCATGCACAGATTTTGTAGGCCTATCTGAGTATCTCTGAATAAAATAGTGTGAACACTAGTTTGACTGGCAGTGCATGAAGAGCTTGCAAGCTTATGTTGATATATGTTTTAGTATTACCAATGTACCATCTTTACATTATTAAATGAATATAATAAATCAATAAATAAATCAATAAAATGATCCGCAATCAATCATCAATGTCACAATGATCATCACAAGACATAGCTCTAGTACTATAGCTCGCTTACATTAACAGTGGCAGTTACTAGAGTTCTAGAGTACTAGAGCTACACAAGACACAACTGATCACAACACAAGACTGTCAATGTAACTGAGGCAGATGGGGTCGTTGTCGTATCAGGTACTACAGATATGTACCCGAAGTAGTTTTAGGTTGTTTAGTATTAGGGTTAGGGTTAGGGTACACTTCTGTAGTACAAGTCGGCACAAATTCACTTTAGGCACCTTAGGTATCATGAAGTGATGCACAGATTTCTGTGTATCATCAACTGATGCACAGACTTTGTGTATAGGTGGGGGCGGAGTGACGGTTAGGGTTAGTGATTGTTTAGGGTTAGGGTTAGGGTACACTTCTGTAGTACAAGTCTGGTACACTTTGTGTATAGGTGGGGGCGGAGTGACGTCACCTCGGGTACATATCTATAGTACCTGATACGACAACGACCCCTTCAGCGTAACTGAGGCACGAAGGGTCTTTGTCGTAACAGGTACTACAGATATGTACCCGAGGTAGTTTTAGTTTGTTTAGTATTAACTATTATGTTTATATTTTTATATGAGGTACCTATGTTTAGGTTTAGGGTTAGGGTTAAACCGACCAGGCTCTCCGACTGTTACACGACGCCTCTCGCCACGTAGTGTTAAGCGAGATGGGAACTTGTGGCTAGGGTTAGAGTTAGGGTTAGGGTTAGTGTTATGGTTAGGGTACACTTCTGTAGTACAAGTCTGGTACACTTTGTGTATACATATAGATGTGTGTGTATTGTGGGTTCAAGGATAGAGAACATGTTACGACAACGACCCCTTCCTTTGAGCGTAACTGAGCGACACTGACAGTGTCAAAACGACAGCGTCAATTAGTCCATGATAATTTTTTGAAACTGATAGTGAAATAGAGTAATACTCTTAATATCGTTATCCATAGTCGACTTTGAAGGTTTGATCGCTGTCTGATGTTATTCGTGACACGACGTGATAACTGAAAAGTAAGATTTTACAACGAAAACACTCAAACTAGCGCGTGAAACGTCATTCGCACACAGTGTCATATAAAATAAGCGTACGCGTATGTTTTAATAAAAAATAAATAAATGTAAAATGATTTATGCTTCATCCGCATAGTAATACAGTTGCCAAATGTTACGTTACAGGTGATTCCAAACGTGTATTTTTATTTTTATGAATATACAGTAAAGAAATTTATAAGTAATGAATCGAAGTTATTCGTATCTCACACAAACATGGACTAAAAAAACATAGAGCGCCCTCTGCCTCTGGTTTCGGTACAACCAGCTAGACTTTATTTGATTTATATGCTCTGGTACAACATAGCACGTATATCATCAGGAGTCTATCAATATATAGAATATCATAGACTCCTGATGCTCTGCCAGTACTGCGACGTCACACGCGTGAGGGGGCGCCACTGATCGGCTGGTCAGTACTGCGGTGTCACACCCGTGAGGGGGCGCCACTGATCGACTGCCCAGTACTCTGGTGTCACACCTGTGAGGGGGCGCCACTGATCGACTGCCCAGCACTGCGGTGTCACAGCCATAGAAATGGCAGCCCAATAAACCCAGGTTATTGGGCTGCGATTTCTATGGTCACAGCTGCGGTGCTGCCTGATCCAGTGTGTGTACTATACACACGTGAATAGAACAATGGCTCCCAATTAAAGCAGTTGTTTTTTCTGTAGCTTGTCTTTTATAATAAACTAGAGAAATGATCGCTCATTTGCCTAATGTTCGTGTGAATATGCGTTAGTTTTGAAGAGTTCAGACTTGAGTGAGATCAGACAACTATTATAAATGGCAGAGGATGTAGTTTTTTATTGTGCTAATTGCAGACATTGATCAGCATGAGTTGACATTTATAGAGTAGCCTATAAAATAGTATATACTGATGATCAGCCGTTAGGCCCCTCCAGTTTTTGGTATTGTAGGCAGAAAACAAGCCAAAAACGCCCCAAACCCCACTGTCGAGAGGGTAAACGTTTAGCTCGAGCCCCTTCACTCGCCAGATTCTTGCAATGATTTGATTTTCATTTCCCATTCCCGAAATCAGCATGTTGTCTATGATCAATAGAT